CTCATCATGGCCAGCCAAAAATGCTTTCTAAACCTTCTTTAGCAAAGATGTGAAACAATGAGCCTTCAATCTGGGCAACAAGCACCTGTGGAAAAGGGTATGTAACTCAGGAACATATGATGCTTCAAAGCAGGTATCTAGCCTGCTGCTTTTTGTCACTGTTGCCTGCATCAGTTGTGCACGCGGCAGTTTCTCCCTCTTTCTTTATAAAGATGGTTTGTAAATAAATTTTACCAATCTCTCTTCAATCAGCGTAACTCAGGGTCTCTCTGCAGCCCAAACTGCTGTGTCAACCTCAGGACAAGCAGGCAGAAACACCAAGCCTCATAGAGACAATCTCTATCCAGTTGGACAAATGCAGGTATCTAGAGATGCAAAGGGCCACTTGCCAGCTCACATATGCTTACTGAAGCCAGGGGACCCTTTACTAATCTTTGCAGAATGTGATTGTAAATGGCCTCATGTGCAGACAAAGTTCCTGTTTTTAGTAAAACTGTCCCAGCTTCGGAGTGTGATGTGGGTTTTCATAGGGGACTAGGGCCACTGCCTATGTTCTTCTGTTAGTGCCCCACACCAAAGTGATGGGAGCTGGGTAGCTCAGGGGAGATGAGGTGCTAATGGAGATCTCTGGCACAGGCAAGCAGGTGCAAAAAGGCAGGACAGTGGGATTTGGGTAAAGCTTTAGGAATGCTGTAAGGTTAAATAGAATAGCTCAGAAGTGTATTTGGTGGTTTCAGAAAATACCAGAGCTCCCCTTCCATATTTTTTTATTCAGTGAAAGCCACTGACTTACTCCCCACCTCATGGAGCCTTTCCCTGGGAACAGCCTGACTGCTGCTTGCAGCTTGCAACTCCCCCAAAAGGATCCCGAGCCATACTCTGAGGCACACTCAGTGCCCTGCAGTCTGGCTGACCTTGCTGAGGGACAAACTGTAAATGCAAAGCCAACAGCTGGGTGTTTTTGGATGAATTTTTAGCTCTTCCCTTGATACTCTTTATAGCAATGCAAGCTCTCCTGGGGCACAGCCTCAGTAAACTTCCACTCATCCACCACTGCACACTGAGGAACAAAATCCAGAGAAGAGTTTGGGGCTGGGCTACATAGACAGCAGAACTTCTCATTTTCTTTGCCCTTTCCTCAATATAGCCCCTAGATGCACTGAAAAAAGTAAAAAAACCTCAAGCAACAACACGAGAGAAATATGCTGTGTCGACATTTCTGGGGCAGATGAGGAGGCAGAGATGGAAATGAATTACTGTGCAGCTGCTGTCTCACTGACAGATATCACTGCTCTTTAAAACACACTTATCTCACTGACAGATCTGCTGCATGTTTCCATTACCTCCCCTAGCACTCCAGCCTGTAGAAAGGTATAGGAGACCTAAAACCAGAAGTAACAGAAAGTTTGCCTACCTTATCAACGCAACTCCAAGGTTGAGTGAGACAAAGTAGAGCAGAGATCACCTTGCACCTACAGCCACAATAAGATGTAACTACAAAATAATAATAATAATAAAAAACAAACAAACAAACAAAAAAGCTAAAAGCTACAGCTCAAGCAGGAGACCAGGCAAAAAGCTGGAACAGAACACTTGAAATACAGAAAACCAGGAAGGTGCTTGTGCTCCTCAATAAATACTTTCCCTGCAAAGGCGGTGCCCCCAGGTGCTGGTGCTGGTTGAGGCATCATGGCCTTAACAGAAACAGCTGGGTAAAGAATGCCCAAAGCATGGTTTGTTTACAATCATAACAGCTCACTCCAATGCCATGTGTAAGTCTCAGACAAAAAGCAGCATCTTTAGGTGATTTTTAATAGACTGAAGAAACTGATACATGAATATGGGAGAAAATATTTTCCCAAGCAGAAGTCTGAGGAGGAAGCTTTTTTGTCCCAATTACCTGAACCAGCTGTGTGCCCAAGTAAGGCTTAGGACTGCTAATATCACTTTCACCTGATTCTCCATGAAGCAGTCATGCTGTTTGTGTTTCTGCTGGTTTTCTGTTTATCCTACAGAACTCCTGAAATACCTGTCCAGTTTCACTCCATTTACAGGACACAAGACAGTGTGTAAGAGTGAAGTTCTGAGACATTTCTGCATCCTAGGGATGGGGGGGAGAAACTGTTCCTAGCACTCTCTGTACTCAAGAAAAAGCTGCAGCAGGAGCCCATTAGATATTGAAGAAGCTATGCAAATGTTTGTCCTTTGGAACTATGAGTCCATAGGTTCCCTAGCACAAGGATCTATTTAATAATGCATTTAGGTTTGCAAAGTTTCCTTGCTCTTGTTCCTTGCTTGGATGAGTGGAAAAGATCACCTTATGCCAAGCTCATTCTCAGATGTCCCTATGGAATAGCTGCAGTTATTATCAAAATTGCACCGTGATGCAAATCATGATTGTGCGTTTGAAATTTTCTATCTATTAATACTCATTGAAAAGACTTGAAATTCCTTAATTCCAACAAAAATACCTGGGAAAACATTGTCTTGAGCGAAAGTGTCTCTCCCACACTGTGTTGTACTGGCTGAATTTCTGAACAGTTGCAAAACTGGCATCTAGACCCAAGCCTCAAATGAGCTTAAGTTCATGCCCATCTTTTGATCAGGCTTTGAAGAGAAGGAAAGAAGAGCTGCAAGGTCTAAATAACGTTCAGAGTGATAGGGGTAGCAAGGGAAATGCTTTATGCTGATGACATGGAAAATAACATCAAAGCCTGAACAATAAAGTGAATTTATTAAATTGGTCAAAAAATGTTTATTTTAAAATCAATTCATATTGAACCTACATAACAAAGAAATCATAAACTCCTTGCAGTGTAATGAACTTGAATTGACCTCAGCCACTCATCCTGAAAGATATGAAGCCACTAGTCAACACAGACAGCCCCCTCACCTGCTCAATCCATAACCTGCTCAATGCAAAAGCAGTAAGTCTATAATTTAGAACACAATTTCTTCAATCTAGAAGTAAACTGACCTCTTAAGCAATTGAATTCAGAAACCACTAAACCAGTCCATTCCCCATTCTAAGTACATCACCGGTTTAGAACATAGTGACTGTTTTATCTATGAAGTAGTAAATGGCATAAATCTAATGCTCAGTAGAATACACTTTCAGAGAAAGGATGCTGTGCTATCAATTTGTACAGTCTACCAACTAGCATCTAGAGACTCTCTCCAGCCTGGAGTTTATTACCTGTGGACACTAGAATCAACAGATCTGCAACTGGATCCAAACTAAAATCTCAACCCACTCTAAAACTTAATTTCTAAACTAGATAAGAAAATGGATCAGCCTGGAAAAGCACTTTTTTTTTTTTTTTTTTTTTTTTTTTTTTTCCTATTTGCTGAATCCTTAGAATTTTCTTCTGGAATTGCAAATTCTTGTATAGCAGATTTAAATCTGTCAATGAGTTTGTTTTCACCGAGCAATCAGAAATAGTCAGTGGGTTGCCTGGAATCCATGGACTGCAGCTTGAAAATCAGCACAGATCTAAATTGATGTGGAACATGGTAAAACATCTCCTGGCATATCTGCTGACCTGCCAGTCCTGTGGAAATGCTCAGAAGAGACAAAAGCTCCTTGCTCAGGAATAAAAGGCACTGCTGGATTTGGAATACAGGATCAACTGAATTTTTTCCAAGTGGCCAATGACTTAGGAGTCTGTCTAAATACCATTTTCAAAATGGTGCTGGACCTCTAAGGGTTTAAAAACATGGCTCCTGATTTAAGATATCTAGTTGGCAAAAAATAAGTACTCTTGTGAGCTGTGCAGCTAACAAAGCTTTAACTGTTTTCTGAGTCTCAGAGCCACACGGATTTCCTGTAACAAATGAGTTGCAAGTTCTGACTGGAGCTTTTCTCAGAGCTAAGCAATCAGCAGGACCCTGGCCTGCATGGATTCTCTGGTGCCTTTTACTGCTGGTATGTTCACACCATAGTTCTTCCTTTAGCTGGGGTAGTAATTTCGGTCTCATTCTCCCAGCTAGCAAAACCCATCAGAACTTCACTGGGGATCTGCTGAAATCAGCTGATAGTTCAAACTGATTAAGAACAGGACTGGCAGATGGACATACAGAGAAAGAGAGAGGTAGAGGGAGTTGAGCTAAAAAATGCTGCCAAGTTTGACTGTAGTAAAGAACAAATAGAACAAGTAACAAGTATCTGTATGCATTTCTACAAAATGTGTTAACCCCCTTATATTTGGTAAAGTCTTTACTAAGCAAATTTTCCAGATTGAAATGCTATAACCTATGTTTGGCTCTGGAGCACCCCAGGGCTGGGGAGTACCATGTCAATACCAATTACAAGTAAAGGGACAGAGGTTTGCCCTGTCAGCACTTTTACGTGTGCAATTAGTCTCCCTAACTGTCTTGTGGATAGGTGAGGCAGCCTGCTGCTCTTGGCGATAGGAGAGGGATGCCGTGTGCATTAGAAAAAGGCTGGACCTTGCTCTGGGCCCTAGCCATTCGTGGAGCCAAGGTGCTGCTCAAAATCACATTAGCTCCTCAGAAAAATACCATACCAAGGGAAAACTGAGGAAATTGGCATTGTTCTTCCCCTTGCCTCTGGGTTCCTGCAATGACTGCAATCACTCTTGGCTCTTTGAAGGCACTCTGGCTTTGTGTGAGAGAGGGCCATTGGAAGGGGAATCGCAAGAAGGAACAAGCTGCCTTGCACCACTTCTGTGTGAAGGTGTATGTAAGCAGGTGAGCACTTGTGCACGGGGGTGTCTTGCAAGCGAAAATAGATGGAGTCAGCTCTTCAGGCTTGTGAACGAGTGTGCTCATGTCACTTCACAGCAGCAGTTATGAGGAAGGATTCCTCCAACCATTGAGTACCATTTCTTCCCTTCTGTCCCCTACTCCCTAAGTCCACAGGGGACTGCGGGTCTCCTCTCCATGCAGGTCACGAAGCGGTGAGCAGAGAGCTGTGTGCTGGGGTGCTGGCTGCAGCTGATACAGATGCTCCTGTTCGCCAGGCCAGTAGCTCTAATTCTCAGTCTCCCACAGGGCTGTGTACTTCCTCAGCTCAGTTTGCCATGTGGGCACAGTATGTCTATGGCCTAGGGAGTCCATGGAGCATGTGAGCAAAGCTCTCAGTCAGATGCTTAAAAAAAAAAAAAAAAAAAAAATCCAGTGAGTGCATAGAGGAAGGACATCTTTATCCACCTGCTTCTAAAATTATACCTTTCTTTCCATATGCTTCTCCCAAGCTTTTGGGAAGTTACAGAAAACTTGGATCCAATGCCAGCTAGGCACATCCCAGATGTGTGACCCTTGCTTCCAAGACTGACCTTTCTGCAGCCTTGCAGGTGTCCCAGCAAGCTCTCCCTTGTTCCTCGGAGGTGAGTGGCAGCACATGAGGCCCTGAGTGAGGGGTTTGCAGCAATGTCATAAGAAGCAGGGGCTTATGGACAGTGAGAGTTTTCACCAAATCATTAGCAAAACTCTGTGTGCAGAAAAATACTGGAAACAAAAAATTCACCCACATGCCCAGAACAAGTGTTTAGGGCATGATAGAGCTGTCTTTTTCCTAGACGTCTGCCAGACTTGGCTGGCTCTGCTTCCCAGGAAGTTGCTAAGAGTGGCAGTGAAAGTGGAATTTGATGAAACAGCTTGAAATTAAGCACTAGACTTTTCTTCCCCACCTTCTACCTAGCCATCACAGATCCACCAGCACTGTTCCTTTCTATGATTAGATCCTGGCCAAAACCCTTGGGGAGTGCTTCTCTGAGGACTGTGGCCAGATGGTTGATAGATGCACATCACCAGGGCCAGGCTTATGAAGAACTAGTTTGAGATGCTGATTTATTTGCTAAGTCTCAGATACTGGAACAAAACCAGTGTACTTGGACAGACGGGATTTTCTGAAACTTATGAACTTCATACCTCAGAGACATCTCTCTGTGAGAGTCAGAGTAAAGAGGCCAATGACAGCAGAAGTTATTGGTGGAGCATACCAGACATACACGCAGACAGACAGCAGGTTGCATACACCTTACTTCCCTCGGGAGTCAGGCTTAACTTTTTAAAAAGAAGCAACCAGCAGCACAATATTTTCCCTACAAGCCCCATCTTTATTTTTAGAGCTGTAATCAGAAGAACATTTTGTCTCCCGATCGGATCAAAATGTCTGGAAATGTACAGAGGGCAGCCCTCCTTCTCTTTTCTTCCCTTTTTTTTGTAAGTGGAAGAGTGGAAGCATTGAAGAGAATGGGAGGAAGGAGGCAAACAAGCACCTCAGTGCTGAAATGGCCCAGGGAAATGGCCATGCTGTTACTAGCGCTGTTGTGCTTTCTGTAAGTGCGTATGAAAGAATGGAGAGGTGCGCAAGACAGAAGAAAAGCTTCATTTAGGAATGCATTTCATTTACATTTTTATAACAAAGCTTCAAAGTTCTGACTGATCATAAGGGCTTCGCTTAGTACAAACAGCAGAATGATTAAAGCTCACATAAGAAATGATTGTGAGCCAGAAGTGAAGTCATTCTCTCTTACTGATGGAGGTACGTTTACCCTGCAAAGGTTTGCACCTTCTCTTCAAATAAGAAAAGAGCTTCCCAGAACTCCATATTTATGTTGAAACCACAAGTGTACAGGCAGGATCTCCAAGGCTAAGGAGAAAAGATGCAGCCTCATTTCCAACCTTGTGTTTAATGAACAACCCTGCAACCTGAAGCATAGACGAACCTGTGAAGGAAAAGTTCCCACACGTGTTAACAGATGAACCCTAATTCATGCTAAGAAACAAACGCCAAAGGACCCCAGAGTCACTGGGTGTGAGCAAGCATTGCCCATTGGTGCTGTGCAGATTTATGCCCGCTGAAGACCTAATCCCTTATATGACTGGGGCAAGGAAAACCCACAGGGCCCTGAAGGGCTCCCAGCATGGAAGAGGAGTAAAGCACTGGACAGCAAGACTGTGGGCATAGCACTTAAGCCTCCTGTGCCTCAGAGCCCTCAGCTGTACAACAGCAGGAATAATATTCCTTTCTGCATATCTTTTGCCTCCCTCCTTCTCTGAGGTTCTCCAAGGCACTTCTGGGTACCTGTACAGCACCCCACACAATGAGGCCTGGGTTGCAATTTAGGCAAAAAAAACCCAATGTTACACAGAGCAGCCACATTCTGAGTTAGATACATCACACTGGTAGAGCCATCAAAATATCAGTATAGTGTTCACAATGCTCACCATAGACAAACACACGAATGTAATTTGAAGTTGTCATCACCCAAATGCACAGACTCTCTTGCTTGTAAATCTGGCCTCTTCAGCATCAGAGAAAGTAGTATTACACTAAGACCCATCTCATAAGCCTTATCAGGAAAATGGATCAAAAGTTGGACAATAGCTCTCTTCAGACACAGGAGTCGAGGTATTTTAGAGAACTTGGCTTTTGCCAAGAAAGGTTGGACCAGATGACCCTTGAGGTCTTTTCCAACTTGGTATTCTATGACTTTATGATTCTGTGATTCAAATGATATAATTAAGGGATCAATATCAAGTTAAGCTAGACTTAAATAGCTCTGAAACAATATCAGACACATTCAAGCACAAAATAGTTCTGCATTGCAGTACCATTTGAAGATTCTGGCAAAGAGGTCCAGGTTCTGTCATGATGCTTGTCTATATATTAAGATAGAGATTAAATTCTCCAAGCCAGGTCTCCCCAAGCCCGGTCTCATTCTAGATACTGTCAAGACCTCTACTGAAAAGCAGTTGCTGCCATAGTGACTTTAGTGTCTACATAGCTTTCACCTGCCATTTGCAGACCCCCACAAGTTTACCAGTAGATGTGTGAATCCAGTGTAACAAATTTAAGCCTGGTAATAGTGGGCTTTGCTTTCCATAATCACTTTCATAGATCCTTGAAAAGTAGCCCAAGTACTGCCTAGACTTGCAGAACACAGTTTTAAACCAGCAGATTAAAAAAACAAGTGGATTGCCTATATGAAAAAGAAGGTATCATTGTTAGATTGTTTTTGTGCTTAGGATAAACTTTATTTTTGTTGAGAAACTGTTATCTTGTCAGGAAACCTCTTTTCTACTCCATGTTGGAAACTATAGCCCAAACCACATACCAGCCTGGAATAATAAGGGTTAAAAGGACTTACAGCCCAGAAGTCAGGACCTCAGGCATTAAATTCTTGCCTTACACTCATCCTTGAAATTTTCAGCCTGCATCAAGCAGAGTAAGAGTTAAATCACCCCATAAACATAATATTTTATGTGTGGTTAACAGCTTAAAACTGTTCAAAAGTGATGACCGATACTGACTGTCTTCACTGGTATGATACTGGAATTTAAGAAGTCTGGGGTTCAGTCTCAGAATTTGAGGCATTCCAAATTACTTATCCCACTTGACAATCTTTGCGTGTTCACAAAGCTCCTCCCTTAAACATCAGTTGAATAACTAGTATTTGGAGACCTGAATGATTAGAAATTGCCCAGTTTTTTTATCTTTTTCATTCCTGAACATAAGTCACATCTTGATTTAAAGTATATCAGATCTCAAATTATATATCTTTTTTCCCTGATTTGGAATACATTTGTGTTGAAAGGAAAACTGTTTATTTTATTTGCAATGCTGTGACTGGGTTTAAGATTGGCCAAATACAGTGATATATGCCTGCTTTGTTCTCCTCATAGCATTTTTCTGGCTCTTTAGTGGGAGGTTTATGGGTTTTTTGTGCAATATCAATTTGACAGCCTGTATGGGTTTTTTTAAATAATAAATACAATGCTTACAAGAATAAAACCTCAATTCTAGATAGAAATATGCACCCGCATATATATGTCAGTGCCAGAGGCTCCGATCTCTTCCCATTGCTAAGTACCAGGAGTAAACTTGCAGATGCACACAATCCTCAGCTGGTTTAAACAGCTGGTCATGGCTCGCAGGGAGTTTCACAGGCCTGTCCCTGGTATGGCACAGCCCAGCACAGAAATGTTGTTCTGAGGAGGCAGGCTCCTGCTTCCCTGAGGCACCCGTCAAGTCATGGGCACTGCATGGCACACAGGGGTCACAGCTCTCATGCCACTTGTCACAGTGCTCCTTGAAAGGAAGCTCCTGTGGGGTGATGCTCAGGCTCGCGGCAGTGTCATGCAGCTGCCTGTCCCCTGGTCTGTGACCCTGGCGCCTGGCACAGCTGGTCAGCAGGGTGACAGGCCAGCCCAGCCCACGTGAAGGTGACAGTGGTAGAAACAGGCCAGCCAACTGCCCCAGGAGGGATGCAAGCTGGAAGATGGCTGCTATCAGTAAACCTGCCCTTTGGAGCTCAGCTGGGAGTGAGGCATCTCTCACAACATGGTCCAGGCAGAGTATGATGGCACAGAGGCAATGTTCTTGCAGCATGAGTAGGTCCTGATCCCATAGGTGTACTCTGGTGGCTTGCACCACCAGCAGCCATAGCTCTGCAGGCACAGAAAAGTGAAGCAGAGCAGGACTCAAATCCCCATGGCTTCATGAGTTACCACAGCCCAGCCGAAACATGGCAACCAGCTGGACACGTCTCAAGTGTGAGGTTGGATGAATTAGAGCTTTCATAAAGCTCTGAGCTAACACCTTTCTTTCCCAGTTGTGCCAGATAGAATTCCAGTTGCCAAACTAGAAAGGGCGTTTAAGGTGTGGTATTGCCACCATGAAGGACACAGCCTGCTTATGAAAGTTTTGTGTTTAGCTCACCTGGTACTCAGCTGACCAGGAGCAAGTGGCCCAGAACCAGGAAAATACAGGTTTTAACACACTTGTTACTGCTAAGAGCAGTTATAACCCAGCCATCATGAGTATAATTACCAAATCCACACTTGAACCAAAACTGCAGATGGACTCTTGCTGCCACATCTCCTTAATAAATGTATTTGGAATAGCAAAGACAAATGTACGATGCTGTAGAAAATTACACTGGAGAGGCTACAAAGAGGCCGTAGCCAATGATCAGAACTAATGGATCAGTATTTAATAATAATACTTAGCACTTGAATAGGTTTGAAGCTTCAAAGAGCTGTGCAAACTGTAGCTAATTAATCCACATAAAATCCCAGCCAGGTATTACTGGATTCTTCCCCTCCTTACACAACACTCAAGATTACAGCTACTAATTGTCCCCACAGTCACAGTGGGGGAGTGCGGAGATTGCTAAGATAGGAGGAAGCACGTTCATGCTGATGAGAACCCCATGACACACAAAATGAGAGGTTTAGGCCCTTGGGAACATTATTGGAGCTAATGATTCATCCCCTTCCAGTGATCCTAAGAACTACTACTATTATTACCCAAATTTTCACAGGGAGTTGAGAAAGGAGCATCAGTAGATGAAGAGCCCTTGTAGGGATTTGGTAGAGGAGCAGGGTTAGGAAGCAGACCTTGGCTGGTGAGCAGCCACACGGCTCCCCTGAGCAGCAGAGACAGCAGCATGAGTGCAGCTGAAATTGTACAATGAGGTCTGGCCGGGGAGAGAGGACACTCTGTGTGCCATATTCCCCAGCTGCTCTTCTTGTCTGCAAATATTTAGCCAGGCTGGGTCCAGTGCACCAGCTGTCCAGGTGATAATAGAGCTAAATCCCTCCTTAAACTTGCAGGCACCTCCTCCCTCTGGAAAGGCCATTTGGCTAATGCAATGTTTGCACATGGAGTCTGGAGCAGGCTGACGCAGAGCCACCCCCTCCATGGCAAGGGCTGCGCAGATGGAGAACAGGAGCACAGGAGCTGCGGTTCACCCCGGAGCAGCACTTGTGGGCCCTGCCGAGACCTGTCTGGAGGAATAAAAGAGAAAGCAGGATCCCAACCCCCCATCCCTGAGGGCCTGGCAGCACTGGGAGTAGCAAAGACCCCAGAGAAGAAGCTCCCATCTCCCAGCACTGACGGTACAGCTCTCCTTGCGGGGCTCAGAGGCAGGCACCCTGCCCAGGAGCAGGGCAGGCTCTGGGGCATGGGGGTCTCTGTGGGGTGAGGGGCAAGAGGCTGCCCCAGCCTGGCTGTGGCCTCACCACTAACCGCCTGGGGAGAACCAGGGGGGAAGAAGCAGGGGGTCTTCACTTGCTCCGTGGGCAGCATCTGAGGACTCTGGCCTGTCGTTTGGTGACCAGGCAGTTTGTGTCCATTCTGCCACAGGCGCCCTGGGGGACTGTTTCACCATTTTACTACTGTTCTCACCTGTTTTGTATTTATGGTATAAACGCTTGAAGGTAGGGGATGACTCCTGTTAGGGCTACGTGTAGCACCTTCACTGTGGTCCGATACTGATGGGTTCACATCTCTCCCTCTCTACTGATACCACACGTGGCTGTGGAGTCACTGTGAGGGGCAGAGGGAAACCTACCAGCCAGATTAGAGACCTGAGAGCTGAAGTGCTTTGTGCCCTGTGCTGCAATCTGGACTAGCTTCTGTGTCTTGCACCTAGAAGACTCAGAGCAGACAAAACTGCAAATACTCCCGTCGCACACAGGAACTTTTAGCTCATCCCCTTCCCTGGCTGCTCTTCAGGACCAACCCAGACCGTTTCCATCTTCAGTCACAAAATACCAGGTTTGATAGATCTGAGCTCTCCTGAGTCATCACAGATTTCTCCAGATCCCTCACTGTGTAGTTCTATAGATTAAAAAAAAAAAAAAAAAAAAGCTTGCCTTTCCCTTTTTGCGTGTGGTTTGTGATCGTTCGGTTGGGGGTCACGGTACAAATAACTAATCTTCAGGCTTACAGGGCACTTTGCCATCAGCGATGCAGCACAGGGGAGAAGAACAAAATTATTTCTTTTCTTTGTCACTGGCCCTCACACTAATATCACAGTACTGAGTGGGATCAATGAGAATGTGCTGCTACACTTCCTTAATGCTTTATTACAGGCACCAGAGTCCTGCTAAACAGCATAATAAAATATCAATAAATAGACTGTTTGCTGTAAAGGCTCGTTCTGCTTCTGCAATTTCTCTACCTCATGCACAATTTCTGCAGCTCAGTATGTTTTAGCGTAGCCAGAAGGTACTCTGGTATGTGGGGAGAGATGGAAATGGATAGATGGATGAATGAATGGATGGACTGGTAGCAGGCACAGGGGTGTCAGTTTTCAGAGGCTGGAGAGAAACAAGCACATCACCAGAGAAACACTGATGCCCACTAAAATTGTTCTGTTTTCATCTTCTTACAAACAACAAACCCCAAAATTGTTCATGAAAAAAGCATGACTGATTCCCTTCACTTAATAGCAATCCCAGAGAAAAAGAAACATAGCAATGTTTTTCTTCCAGTTTTTAGACCAAGATTTTGGGGACTGTTGGTATGAAGGGACTTTTCATTGGAAAGGTAGTTAATACACATACAGAAGCAGGGAGGGGGAAAAAAAAAAAAAAAAAGCCTACATGAATCATTGTGATTAAACCCAGACAAAAATGGGTTTTCATGATTGATGAAAATCACTGGGACTTACATTTTGGAAAAAAAAAAAGGCTTTGACCTTCCCCCAGAGCAGGAAATCCTCTAACCATGCTGCTCTTCTAACCTGCTCCATTTTTGATAGTCTTTTCTTTACTGCCTCTGCCTAGAATATCTCAGCAAAGCTCCTCTGCTGAGAGACAGCTGTGTCTGTGATGCAGACAAACCTCCTTTTTTATTAATAGCTAGTGGGCTACCCAAGCCTTTGGGTTACTGAGGGCTCCATGCAGCCTGACTGAATCTCAGCCAGTCTGTGCCTGAAAAATCTCTGCTGACCAAGGTCTGTCCTACAGATTCTCCCTGGGGGCTTTGGCAAAGTACCTGATAAAGATGTCTTCAGCGTGTCTGACATCAAGCTATTATGCTGTTTACAAGAGATCTGTCGCAGACAAGTGCCTTCTGTACAGAAGCTGTTTCCTCTCCAGGCAGAGAGCAGAGGATATCCTAAATTAGAGAATGGAGTTATTCCAACACACCCAGACAAACTAAACTGCGCTTCAAGCTGCATGGAGCTGCATCCTATTATGAGTTTGGCTTACGACCTGTAAACTCTCACTCATTTCTGATCCCCTTTCTTCTTTGTTTGGCATACTGATCTGGAAGTTTATCCAGAAGTTCAGCTAGAGAGAGGGCAAAATTTGGAAGGGAGGAACAAGAGATGATGAGGCTGAGAAATGCCTGCTGGGAACACTTTGGAAATTACCCAAAAGTAGGACCACATTCTTGTTAAGAGGGCTGTTAATATGAAACAAAGCAATCAGGAGCCCTCTCTCATGGGCTGCAACACACTCCTCCTCTCAAAAACACATACAAAACCCAGGAGCCCTTCTTACAAGAGTGGCTGTAGTGCCAGCTTGCAGACCTATGGGCAGAGCCCAGGAACTTCAGATGTCCAGGCCCCGGTTGAACCTCTTCCCTGATGCCTTCATTTCTGTCTGCAGCCAAGGGAGCAGATACCCTCCATGAACTGGGGTCTTCCATGGCCTTTCTTCCCCCTCTGTCACTGTCCTGCAGAGCTGTGGGGCAGAGCGAGGTGCATGCACGTCTGGAAGGGGAGTGCAGCATGAAGTAGGGAAGGTTTCATTTCTCTAATCATAAATTCAGCCTCCTGTAAATTCAATTCCATGATGCTGCGCCTGTGACGTCAGTAAATCACAGCCATAAAGAAGGGAAGGCAACAGCAGCATGCAAAGGGAATGTAAATGCGTCCGGGAAGCTGGGGCCATCACTCACCCCAGGTTGCTGCTGAGCTCAGCCAGGAGAGGCAGGTCTGGAAACTGCACAGGCAGAGATGCTTGTGCCAGCTCCTACCCTGTGAAGGTGGCAGCACCCTGCATTCCCATCAGCTGCTGGCTTCACCCAGCAAAGGCAGCATCTTGCAGAAGGAGATGGGAAGCCTCTCCTTGGAAGCTGACTCAGCTGAATGGACATTTGGATTCAGTGGAGGATACCTTCCACCTCCAGCAAGCTTCTAACAGCTCTGGGACTCACCAGCTCTGTCTCTCTCCATAAAAGCTGATATTCCTCTTGTTTTACTGCCCAAATTTTCCCAAAGGAACACCATTTACTGCACATTTGACACCCGATGTATAGAGCTGGGTGCATAGCTGTACAAAAGATGGACTGCTTATGTTCCTAACAGGTTAGTTTCTGCCTCCAGCAGCATCCTAACATTCCCACTGAAGGTGCTCCTGCCCCATATATTGCAACACACAGTATCCCTTCAGATCCCACTAAGTAGGAAGGGACTGCAGATATTCTCAGGAGTGAAGAATGAGGCATTTGTGGTCTGACAGCTGTGCAAGATCTCCAAAGAAAACACTGAGAGCTCTGCCTCCCCCTGTGCATTGAAAACATCCTGATCTGTTATCATGGCTGAATTCACCCTGCACAGCTCTGCCCAAACCACTTCCTTCTTCAAAAGCAGATCCCAACTGGCTTTCACATCCAGGTGACCATTTTCAGGGACACTTCCCCCTCTCCATCCCACAGCCTGGCCATCACATCACATGTGTGACTCTTGGCAGCCCAACGTGATGCTGACTTGAGCTTCCCTCCTGCACAGGCTGCTTCTCCGCAAAGCAGAGGCCAATCCAACAGTGGATTGCTGACAGCCCTGCAAGTAATCACGATGAGGAGGAAGAGCCTGCCATGCCCTCTGTGCATACAGAACCCCAGCCCCCACCACCCCCTTCCCAGGACCCCCTCTTTGAGTCCCCTGCTACACCAGCACAACCTATTTGGGATTTGGCCCCCTCTGCTTTGCCATGTTGCTCCCTTGCCCCCACCCCACCCCTAGCAGGATGGCTTTGTGAGTCCCTGAGCTGTCACGGCACAACTGCCAGCCGCCTCCGCCCCACCAGAAGTGAAGCTAATGCTGTGTGACATCTCACTCCCAGCACATCGCACACCGAAGATGAGACCAGCTGAGGCTGCTCCCTGCTTCCTGTACTGGAAACTTCCAGCACCAGACACCTAAGTCTCCCTGCAAAGAGCTTTTCCAGGATGATAGAGGGGTTTTTTAATGCATCTGAAGTCAGCCTGTCACAGACTTTGCTGCCTCCTTTCTCCCCAGAGCAGGGTGACTAACTCAGCAGCAGCAGGTTGGGTCACAGGCTGATTCCTACTCTGATCAAACCACACCAGGAAAGGTGATGTTAGAGGTGATTCAGAACTGCCAGGAGCAGACATTCTCAATAGCTTCTCCATACTAGAGGCTGGCTATATCGACCTTGGCTGTGCATGGCAAAAGCCATCAGTAAGGTCTGCTGGCAAAGAACCTGGGTAAAAGTTTCCGTCCTTCCCTCCCGCTTCCGTAGAAAAAACTCACCTAAGCCCTGAAAGCTTCTTTTAGCTGACTGCATCCCTTCTCTGTGGGGAGACTTTGCACAGGAGTCACAGACAGGCAGGGGCCTTTTATATTTGCAGCCACCCTCATGCCTGTGCTTCATCCACTTCCTGATAAAACGCCCCTCACCACAGAAACAAAGAGCAGCTTCTAAATAAATCTGCCCGCCCTCTACCTCCAAACCACGCTTCACTTCTGATTGACAGCTTGGGAAAGTTCCTAATTATGTCCCCTGGACACTTTGGAGGCGACCCACCCCAGAGCGGGATTTGATGGCTCAGCAAATGGATGGCCTCATTTGTACTGATTTATATTACAGAGCAGATCTAGCCTCATCAGCCTGGCTTGACCTAGTTTTTCTCTTGCATAGGTCAATAAAAACACAGCAAACAGAGCTAATCAGACACTGAGGCTGCACAGTTAATTTGGGCTGGTCCAAACTTACAGGAACACTGCAAACTCTGCTGTCATGAGGAGGGAGAGAATAAATCTTTCACTAAAAAGTCAAAGGGAATTGTACACAGAACATGCCATTTCCAGGACAGATAATGCATGAGACTTTTTTTTTTTTTTTTTTGAGCTTGCTTCCTTTCTGGTTTCTCTGCACCTGGTGGATGCTGCACAATTCTCCTTCCTCTGAAAGCAGAGAGAATTGGTCGCTTCTCTGCATTGGGGTTATAAGCAATCACCAAAAGGGTATGAAGTCAGACAAAAATCAAACAAACAAAAAAAAAAAATGTGTGCAGCTGGCTCTGGAGTGTGCAAGTAAATCCTGAGTAAATGCCAGGCTGCCTTAGTCACCGGCTCTAGCGGGACAAGGGTGACCTCCTTTAAACTGCCTGTGTAGTGAGAGGAACAGTAGCCACATGAGAGGGCTGGCTGCATTGTGGCATTGTGCCATTGCTGTGGGCACACAGCTGGGGGGACCTCGGGCAGGGCTGGGCCGCCAGCAGACACACGAGAACACGCACACTGCAGAATGTGCCTTACAAAACAAACACGTGTTAGGCACATACAGCAGGGTAACCCACATGCATCATGAGGGACATCCTAACCAAATGCTTAGTTTTCGTGCAAACACTGACTCACATGTGACATATTAGAGATCTACCGAAACACACATCTACCGACCAGGATGCAGAGAGATGTAATGTCTTACAGCCACACACATTCCATCTCTCCTCAGCCCATCATACCACGTGGACATGATGTCTGCATTTAGACATCGACATAAATATGTCCAAGGCAGAATGTTTACATATATCACCCAGGCATGGAGGTGGTATGCAGGGATCCAGACATTTTCTGTATTCGTACAGCCATTATGTCCCTCTGATCCCACTGCGAACACAGCACAGAAAAGGTGTGCTCTCTGTAAATGTATTTTTCCCCATGTAGTCAGAATCGAGCACCAGCCACAGTACGTATGCTGGCCTGTGTCACAGTAGGTATGCAACACAGCTGCCTTAAAGAAAATAACAGGTGCGTGTTACACAGATCATATAGGTGCATATAATAAAATGCATGTGTACCCAGCACAGCCTTATCCCACAAAGACACAGTCTACAACCTACTTAAAGGCTCTCACTTAGCAACCTGCATGCTTCCAGCACCTCCACTAGCCCTTTTCCTCCCTAAAGCAGCAGAGATCTACCAATAGCCCTGACAGCAGTGCTAATGAAGGATCATACCTGTTAAGGTGCTCCAGCCCTTTGCCCTCCTGGTGTTGCATGCTAGCCTCTGCTCTTGCCCCTCCTTTCTCCCAGCTCCTTCCTCATGTGGAGATTTTCATGCTTCAAGTGAATGAGCCCAGGCCTGAGCGATAGCCTAATGATGGCATCTCACATCCACCTGCTGATTATTGCCACACAGAGTGACTGGCAAGCAGAGCCCACTGGAGTTCAGGGCTGGTTTGGTCTAGGGCTGAGGTCAAGAGCGTTCATTTCCCTAGGAAAATTAGTAGTTGCTTTCTCCCATAGCAGACACATGCAAGCCGGCTTTGCAAAGGGGGCAGGAGCCAGCGCCTGTCCTAGGGAGAGCCTGCCTCCCTGTCTGCAGCGGCTGCTGCCATTGCCACTCAGGAACTGCGGCTTCAGTGCTGTCGGCACTTGGAAGTAGTCTCATAAGGGCAGGCAAAGGAGCCAAGGTCACCCATACCCACGCTTGCACTCAAGTGAGAGCAATCAGTGAGGCACTCCCATGAGAATAGAAGCTGGCACTGACATGACAGTAGTGATGAGCTCTCCACTTCTGGATGGAGCTGAGATGTTCAAACTGGCCTTAAACCACCCTGAAAAGGAACATCAATCCCTGCAGGCCCTGAGCAGCTGAATCCCCAGAAAGAAAATGACAGGGCTGTCTGCATGGGGGGAGAAATGGGGAGAAAAGCAGACCTTGTTGTGGAGTGGACGGAGCCTGAACTGGCCCACGAAGGACTGCAGGGCAGTGTGGCTGACTCTGCTGTTGAGCGAGTCACAGAGGACTACAGGGCAGAGCAGAAAGGGAAGGAAGGGCTCCCAGCCTGCTGCAGGGTGTGCAGAGCTCACCTGTGTTCTCCCCTGAGCCTGAACATGTGGGGACCAGGCTCCGTTCCTCACTGTGGGGAGAGGGCTTACCTGCCACCAGAACTACACCAAATACCTTCACTGGAGAGAGGGGGAGAAGCAGCAGGCTCCAGTCCTCTCTGCCCATGTGCCAGCTGCTCTCTCAAGAGATGCTTGCGTGTTTGCAGTGAGGGAGAAATGGCAGCTGACAAAAGCTATTCCCAGACAATTAGCCCCAAGAGGCTGGTGAAGGCTGCAATTGCTGTGCGACATTGCATCCGTGTTTTACTGTACCGTTGCCAGGGCAGGGGGAAGGAGCAGGAGCTGAATGTTCAGAAATATGCCTGTTTATGTGTAGGAGCTCCCACTGCTCTCGTTACAACGCATGACGGTATTTCCACATTGGGATCCAGGCCTCCTCCTGCTGCACAGGGAAACTGCAGATCTGAGACCTGGCTCTTGGCTTCAGCTTTCTACGTCCTTGGCCCACTCATTGCAGCAACTCAAAAGAGCTTGATACTTTCAGAGACTCATTCTTTAAGGAGGTAGTTGTGCAATCCCAGATGCTTGGGACTGCACAGCCTAGCTTTCTCTAAGGAACTGTCTATTCAAAAGAATACAGCATTTAATGTTAGCTTGGTAAGGGAAGCTCTATCAGCAAGGTTAAGCTGCTAGGTCAATGTCCTGGCACTGACACAAAAGCAAGTGGGATATGTCCATCTAGAAAAGAAAAATTAGACCAGTGTTTAAGGACATTGAAGATATCTGGATTTTATTTCCCACCTTTTAACTACCATACACTGTAGCTCTACTGTCCCTTGAAAAGCAGAGCAGGGCCACACAGAGGAATGCAAGAGCCAAGTGACACCACCAGCTAGCACCCATGAGAGGCTTGCCCTCTTCCCCTGTCTCCAGGAAAACCCTGATTTGGTGTGCCATGCTGCCAGGACTCTAGCAAAAAAAAGCAGTATTTGCAGAGAAAATTCACCTTACTGCCTGCTGGTCCTCACCACAGCTCACTCCACAGCATTGTCCCTGTGTCTCTGGTGCTGGAGCATCAGCGTAATGTGATGTGACACCTTCCCCCACACTTTGTTATAAATATCATGTTTCACTGTAACTGTGTCTGACACCCCCTTGGAGGCATTTTCTCATGCTCCAAGCCAAGATGTGGGCACGTGCAGATCCCCTCAGCATGCACTGTCTCTGATGGGAGAGGGATGCCCTCCATACCCTCTCCTTTCCCACCAAGAGCAGCACAGATATTGGTGGCAGTGGGATAAGGTTGTGTAGGGTGAGCCGTCTACCGCGATTCCTTTGCCTTCAGTCTGACTCTCCAAAAAATAATGCTGCTAGATCACAGATCTTCCCCTTCTTCTTCCATAAGATGGATGCCAGTGGAAGGGACGGGGGCTTATATTTCCCCATTACCAAAGCCTATTATTTATTTAGAGAGCAGAACCATCTTACCACCATGCCCCACCGCTTCCCTGGGCACCCCCTTCTTAGCCATACGTGCTTGTAGTAATAGTAAAATGCCACTAGATGTCTGTCAGGGTCCTACACATTGCCTGCTCGGGATAGGCCTGGTAAACAAGAGAGACAAGGCTGGGGTGCAAGCTGTGCAGAAAGCTGTGTCTGTTTCTCATTTCATTATCCCAGTCAATATTTCTTATATTTTTGGATCTGTGGAAAAATTTCGATTTTCAATTTATTTCCTTCTAAGAAATGTAGGGAAGCTGAGTGTTATCTCTGTGTACCATAAGCTCTCCTCCATTTTCATTGCAGCTGTTTTTAAACAAATTTTGAAAAGTTTCCTCTCAGGACATGACCTCTAGGTATGTACCTCCATTAGGGCTGCTTAGAAAGGCCTTCACTTATGCCCCCTACCGTGAGGACATGGACAACAAAAGATGCTGTTCCAGTATCAGCCAAGAGCAAAATCAGCTGTGCGACCATTGAATAAGCCCTTCCTTGTAGCAGAACTGGTCACCCACAACTGATCCTACAAGGACAAAACATTTATGCAGCTCAAGTTCTTTGAAGAGCTGAGGATGCCTTGCAAAGGCCAAGTCACTTTTTTGTCATCCCACTCTCAGATGAATGTGTCCTGTCCTGAACTCATCAGGGCAGTCAACCTCCTGAAGACATCCCCCAGCTCATCCCTCCCTTGCCCCACCAGTCTCCTTTTAACTCTGTACTTCTCACCTTCCTCTTGCCCTGGCCCATCCAGGCCTGGAGGACCTGTTCTGGTCCTGCTGTGAGCCACGTCCCTCCGTCCCTCCGTATCAACAGGAGAGAGGAATCTGTCCTCACTCTGTTAACGCCGCTCCAGAACACAAACCACAGTGACAGGAGCCCTCAGGGCTTTGCCATTTGCCATACACCTAACCCTGGTTGCTCTGAGGCCCAGGTGGGACCGCAGGCTCGGGAAGGTGGCAGCCTTTCTGCAAAGAGGCGACAGCCACCTTCACGCAAACACACACGCCTATTTATTCCCCAGTCCGGTCCTCTTCCCTGCCTGTGGGAGAGTGGG